ATTCAAATTGTTACAGGGACAATTTAAACACAACTAATACATGAAAAGGAAAGGAACCAAGAGAAAATTAATTACTTTGTGCAATCAGACTTAAGCTTTTCGTCTGTGGTTTTTTGTTTGCCTGAGGGGGAGGGGTTCTATCTAGGTTGTGAGGTCGTTTGTTATAAAAGAAGAGGGATACATATATCGGGTAAAGACCAGGGTAGATAATTGGGGTAAAGAATTGGATACAGATGAGTTTATGAGTTGATTCGTCGACGAGTTGTTTCTAGGAATAAGGTAAGAAATTGAAAGCTAAAGACTCGATCGGATGAATCATCAAACGGGAAACTTAGAATTAACTGCGCAAGTTAAATGCAAAGTTAATCCAGACGCTTCGTACCTCCCAGAAACTCTGCAATCAATTCCGATGGATCACCTTCTCGCGTTGCATGTCTCGCGCCTCTCCATCCGATGGTGGATTCTCCAATGTCTCCTTCATTGAGACTTAATGCGTCGAGAGATTCCAGAACGATGCTTTGCTTCATTAAACCTTTCACTCGAATTGTGACATTGCCCTCGGCAATTTTGATTCAAGGGAAGACACGCGAGCTCTCGATCGACGAAGAAGAAATCTAGGGATTCGTCTGAAAATGAGGAGGCAAAAGAGGCGGAGGGGAATTTACCCTCTTCCATAGCCACATTCGATCGACGACAGCATTTTAGAATTGAAACGTCTGGTGTTTTAGTGCGGCGGCGTTTCAGCAAACCACCAGGGTGTTTTTTATTTGAATAATAATTATTCTATATAAGTGATTTAAATAGCATATGGCATAATATAGTAATTCATTTATGCTAATATACTTTTATATAAGTCATTTAAATATAGTAGTAAACATTATCTATATATACCTAATATATTTTTTTATGAATATAGTTATTTTAGATTTCAATTTTCTAACAAAACAATACTATAATGTATATGTTTAACTAAATCAAAATTGATAGTAATAGTAAAAGTAACAAGTTCATAATGTATGAAAGCAAAATTTAAAAGTCATATTACATGATTAATGAAATTCTTCATAACCCATGCCACGCAGATTTAAGTTAACATCGTCGTCCTCATCATCGATAACTCGACCCCCATTAGTCATACCATCTTCTTGGTATGCTTCCTCTTCTAAAATTTCTTCGACATCCGCCACATTATAAAAATTCTTCGGCCTTGTCTCAACCACCATGTTCCATTCCGAATCTCTGGCACACTGCACATAATACACTTGGGTTACTTGACTTGCCAAAACGAAAGGTTCATCCGTTGATCGCCTTCGTCTTCTATGGAGGCTAATAACACCGTGGCCATCCCTCCTATAGCCTACTCCTTCTCGCGTGGTGTCATACCATTCACATTGGAATAACACTACATGAAGCCCTTCAGTATATCGCAACTCTATGATATCTTCAATTACACCATAGTTAGGAATCCCCACACCTTCCTCACCTCGCACCATGACTCCACTATTTTGACTTGTTTTTCTATTCTCATGATCTTGCGTATGGAATCTAAATCCATTGATGCAATATCCTGAGTAGTGCAACACTCGTTTGTCCGACTCTCGAGATAAAGTCAACATAGATGGATGCAAAGTTGCAAAATTGTCATCAATCATTTTGCCCACCTGCATCGTCGAGCAGTTTTTTTGATTTCTTCTACACAAATATCATAATAAGACAAAACTTCAAAAAATTTCGTGTCCGAATAGTTACCTGAATAGCGAACCACTTTTGGAATTCTTCCATATGCACTCTCTCAACCATTCTCACACCGCGTCCAGCCAAAAAAACCTTGTGTTGTCTATATATATATAGTATACGTATATATGCAAATTCTTAAAAAAGTGATTATTGTAGCAATACTAACAGTATTGAAGAAGTATAAATCGTACGTACCGCCTAAAATCCTCGACTTCGTCACAGTTTTACAAGACACAAAATGTTGCAGCCTTGAACAAATCATCATTAAAGTCCTTCATGATGAATGTACCAATGAAACGACCGACAAGTGGTAGAATGGACAAATTATGTGGGTGAACGGTTCCCTCCGCAATACTATCATCATTTCTTTCACTACGATTAAATCGAGTTTCCACATCCGTCATGTATTGAGAGCAAAATGTAACGCACTCATCAATCACGTATGCTTCAGCAATAGATCCTTCTAGTCTTGCCTTGTTACGAACCCAACCTTTCAATTTCTTCAGATACCTAGTACAAAAAGTAGGAAAGATTAATAGTCAATCCTATTCATTGGTAAGAAAACAAAAACAATAAATTTTTGGACATGTTTCAAGAATTATTAAAAAACGAAAAACAATAAATTTTAGGACATGTTTCAAGAATTAGTAAAAAAAAAACAATAAATGTTTTGGACATGTTTCAAGAATTATTAAAAAAATAAAAACAATAAATTTTTGGACATGTTTCAAGAATTATTAAAAAACGAAAAACAATAAATTTTAGGACATGTTTCATGAATTAGTAAAAAAACAATAAATTTTTGGACATGTTTCAAGAATTAGTAAAAAACTAAAAACAATAAATTAAAGATAATGAAATTCATACCTTTCCACTGGATACATACAACGATATTGGACGGGTCCAGCAATATTTGCTTCCCAAGGTAGATGGATGGCCAAATGAATCATGATATCGAAGAATGCCGGGGGAAATACACGTTCCAACTTACAGAGGGTTATGGCGATTTCAGAATCCATGGTTGATAACTCTTTCAAACTTAACTCCTTCGAACATATATTCTTGAAGAAATTGCCAAACTCAATTAAGGGGTCCCCTATAGCCTTCAGAAAGAAGTCCTAGCTGCAAGAGGAATTAATCTTTCCAACATGATATGGCAATCATGAGTTTTCATTCCTGAAATCTTCCCTTCCTGAATATTCACACAATTCCTCAAATAGGAAGAATAACCATCTGGAACCTTTAAGTTTGATATCCACTCGCAAAATTCCCTTCTCTGCGCTAGCAGCAAGCTATATAAAGCTCGAGGTAACACTGTTCTCCCGTTCCTCTCAACAGGATGTAATTCATTTCTCAATCCCATCTCTTGCAAATCTTTGCGGGCATTTAGACTATCCTTGGTTTTGCCTTCAATACTCATCATTGTACCCAAAACATTGTCACACACGTTCTTCTCAATATGCATGACATCTAAATTGTGGCGTAACCTAAGTGAACTCCAATACGGCAATTCAAAGAAAATGGATATTTTTTTCCAATTATGTTCTTTACCAAATCCATCGATCATTTTACCCTTTCCTTTGATCCCAAACACAATTTGATTGAGTGGATCTAATTTGATACCTCGAGTGATGACAATTGCCTTGGTCTGGGCCTCTTCTCTACTCTACCATTAAATTGCTTGTTTTGTTTGCGCCGCTTATGATCCAATGGAAAAAATCAACGATGATCCATATAGCACTCCTTATGCCCGTTCGTCAACCTCAAATGCGCTGTTTCCCCTGCACACGATGGACAAGCTAATTTACCTTTCGTACTCCATCCAAAAAGATTAGCGTAAGCCGGAAAATCGTTGATGGTCCACAACAATGCAGCTCGCATGATGAAGTTCTCCTTCTTGAATGCATCATAAGTTAACAAGCCTTCATTCCACAAAGCCTTCAAATCATCGATAGCAGGTCTCAAACAAACATCAATACTATTACCCGGAGCTTTTGGGCCAGGAATGAGCAATGTCAGGAAGGTGAAAGGATTCTTCATGCACTTCCAAGGAGGGAGATTATACGGGAATAGAAGGACCGGCCACGTGCCGTGCTTGTTGTTCATATTGCCGAATGGGTTGAAACCATTAGTCGCTAGTCCCAAATGAACGTTGCGGGGTTCAGAACCAAAAGATGGGTCAAACTCGTCCAAAACCCTTCCAACCCTCTCCGTCACATGGATGCCTCAAGATCCCATCTTTCGAGGGGTTTAGAGCATGCCGCCTTAATTTTTCATGGAATTTTCTTATCTCTGCCCTTCTTATCCTTATAAACTTTCTTCCACCTTGATTTTTTGCATGTGGGGCAAGATGTCGCATCTGCCAGCTCGGCGTAGTATAGGACGCAATCGTCCTCACATGCATCTATTTTTTCGTAGTGTAGCCCAAGGGCTTTCCTAAGCTGCTTTGCTTCATAGTAATTCTTCGGAAGTGATTTCGCCATAGGAAATACATCCCGAATATACTTGACCAACTGGGTAAACGAATTGTTACTCCAGTTATTCTCCCACTTGATTTTCATTAGCTTTGTGACGAATGACAATCTTGACACATTCGAAGCACATCCCTCGTACAACGGTGATTGGGCCTCTCCAAAAAGTTTGTAGAAATTTTGAGCTTGGGCATTAGGCTCTTCCGGATTCGCTAATGGAGCCATGAGGTCGTTCAGAACACCAAGCATATCATCTTCGCCCATATCGTTACCTTCACCCATATCGTCATCATCTCTATTTTCTTCTTCCATGTTATCATCACCCAATACTGGACCTTCATCATCATCATCTTCTTCATCTTCATCGACCTCACCATGGTAAATCCATTTAGTGTAGTCGCTTCTCATTCCCTTATAAAGAAGATGTAATTCTACCTGTTTCACTGTCATTCTACGCACATTACCACATTCCACGCAAGGACACCTTATTAGACCTTCGTCGTCTTTAACATGGTGTGTTGCGTACTTCATGAATTTTCCCACTCCCGCAAAGTACTGTATACATGCTCGATTCTTCAATTGTATCCAAGCTTTGTCTATAGGTTCCATACCTACAGATGTAGAAAATTTACGTTGTTAGAAAATATTACAAACAATGTAAAACTAACTTATTCATGTAAATTAAATTATTGATTTTAAAATAATTGTAAATTACAAACAAATAGTTAATCACATTCAATATAATTTTAATTGAATACCAACTAGGAAACTTAAATACTTCCACTTTAAGCTACATAATCACATTCAATAAAATAATAAATTACAAAATAAAACATATTTGCACGTGTATGGTGTACAACTAAAAAATGCCTAAAAATACCAATAAATTAATAAAAAAACCGGAAAAACAATTACACAAAACGAACCCCTTACCTTTCTTCGCAATCGTCCCAAAACCGCAGCGGTCAGACTTAGCTTCTCCCAGGCGTCATTCCAGACTTCCAGAGTTCCAGTCGTCTTCTCAATCGGCGGTGCACTCCGGCGATGGGGAAACAGTAACTCCGGCGGTGTATTCCGGCGGTGGGGAAATGGTAACTCCGGCGGTGCAGTCTAGCGGTGGGGAAACGACAACTCCGGCGCTGCAGTCTGGCGGTGGGGAATCGGCGGTGCAGTCTTCTCAATTTGCTATTTCAGAGTTCGTTCGATTGATTTGTTCTTTGGTTTGCAGAGGTTTTATATAAAGAGTTTGTTGATTGATTTGTTCTTCCCCCTTTCTCCCTTTGGCCGCAATTAAGAGGATGATGTGAACGAACGACAGTTTTGATGCATTGAACAGTTTTGATTCATTTGTATCGTCATCATTTATTGTAATTTCGGAATTAATAGGTCTGCAAGGGAAGAACAGCCTGAGATTCGTTTATTGTTCTGCAGGGGAAGAACCTAGCGTTCAATTGATCCGCAGAATATGGGGAGTTCTCTGCAGATATGTTTCTGTTACACAATAATTAGAAACAGAAATAACAAAATTACACAAATTGCATGTAGCGTAACTGGTGTGTACTCTTATTTATGAACAAGAGGTCCTAGGTTCGAGTTGCATCATAGACTTATATTTTTTAAAGTTGTTTTTGTGACACCAATGCACTAATCTACTGTATGTGAAATCAATATTTGTGACTAATTATTTCCAACAAATTCATATCAACAATTGAAAAAGATGATATGAAGGGTAAAAAAGTAATATTTCAAAAAAAAAAAATCTTACGACATCATAATTCGTCAGTAGTGTTCTGTTTTTTACGATTTATTTTACTAGTTTTGACGAACACGAGTTTGCTCACTAATATTGTTTCTATTCTTTAAGTTTTTCAAACCATTTGTTCATTACCAACGGAACATATGTAGTGATTAATACAAGGTAGGTAGCTACATGTAATGTGCATTTGTTCTAACCATTTTTTATTGACGAACTTATTATCATCGTCGAAAAAAATAAGTTTTTCTGAAGGATAAATAAAATCCTCGCAGATATAAGTATCATTCTCGACAAAAATATAGTTTTTTAAATAAAATCCTCACAGATATAATTATTCCAAACTGTACTTTTCCGAGGAGATCATTTGGCGTCACAAAAAAAGGTTCTGAATTGTAGGTCGGTTTTTTGGCGTCACAAACAATAACTATTTCCGACGTTTTATGTAAGTTAGTGAGTAATACAAGGTTCCCCTTCCACTGCTACCTCGAAGAACATCAACCTTAGAGCTTCTAGAGTGACTTTTGTATTCAACTCCCGAAATGGGTGTCCATCCGCTCGGACTAGCTTCTTTAGTCAAGAATCCTCTAGAAGCTTTCCGATTTGAAGTTGTTGAGCCTCAATGTAATCATCGTTCTTCTTGAATACCTACAGACAATGAAGTACCATTAGGAGACCAAATTTTTTTTAAAGAGGCATCAATAAAGTTTTATTAGAAGACTAACCGTGTCGACTGCACCAGTAGAAGATTGAAGCCACTTCTTGAAGGAGGAATGAGCAACTTCAACCCTATTTGAGCTTGTATTACCTAGATGTCGCGCTTGATTGGTATAAAATTTAGACCACATGTGCCTAACTGGTAACCACTTAGCTGCCAAATACCCTCAAACTCGCCGGTACTGTTGTCCCCAACTATGCCTGAAATTTTCTAAGGTTGTATCCATGTCTTCCACTCTCAATGCATATACAACACGTTTCCAAGATGCCACGATATGATCCACTATCGGTTTGGCTGCATCGATACCACAATGTGTCGTCCTCCGCACCTCCGTTAGACACTTTGCTCTCACATTCCTATATATATGCCAAAGACATAGTATATGAGTCGATGATGGAAACGTTACCCCCACAGTCTCAACCAATCCTCATGCTTTGTCACTGACAAACACATCTGGAACAATAGGGCCAAGCAGATGTTGCAAATGTGTCAGAAGCCACTGGTACGAATGCGTCAGAAGCCAATGACAAAGTTTAATCCCACTGGTGTCATGCCGACAATCTCAACCCAAGGCATATCATACTTATTGGTCTTGTATGTTGCATCTATCATGATCACATGGTGCCAAGCTCGCAACATCACTACTGACTCAGGGTGGGCTAGAAACAAGTGTGTAACCACATTACGATCGTCCATATACTGCACATAGTAACCCTTCTCCGGAGCCACGCAGAAAGTATACTGTAAGGCTGTCATCTAACCATGCTCTTCTTTCCTTATCTTTTGAAACTAGTTATAAATCTATTTTCTGTTGTGTGTTCCCTATGCCCCTTTTCTCGCATTTACTGCCTTGTGGATACTCCTTGGTGGGGCACCAGACGATCTCCGTTGTTTGATGTATTGCTTATCATCTGCAGACAAAAACGTTCCTTCCCTTTGATCCCTCAGGAAATAGCTCCAACTGATGATTGTGGAAACCCAAATTAGCACTAGGATTCTTTGTATTTGCCACCCATAGGATCAACCAAGATCCATCACCGGACCGCTCAAGCTTGATCTGAAACTCGCACCCCAACTTTTCAGTAGCAGTAAGAGGCCTCCTTTCCTTAGTCGGATTTGGTTCCTTCGACTTTTTCTTCTTACCATGAGTGCAATGTAAGTAATGCCGCCAAGTACCTTCATTTTTATTTTTTTTTTGTTCGTTGCCCTCAACAAATAAAACCCAAAACCCTTGGCAATCTTAGTAGCTGCTTCATATGCTTTCAAATCCGTAGTGTATTTCACGCCATCAATGAAATCCAAGGTGTAATCATGGTCATCCGGATTATAACTACCAATATCCTGCAATGTTATCAGAATTTATAAGTGATACTCCACAAATTTAAAAATGAACTTAACATTCTCTATATCATCAATTTAACGAGTACTATACGATAAACTTAAAATTTCATAACTATATTAAATTTAATAATCATCATAACTTCACATGCGAATCTATTATTAATGAAATAAATCTAATCTTAATTTGTAATGCAAAATCCAATCTTAATTTTGTAGATTAAGACCAAATTAAATCTAATCTAAATTTAAGGCAAAATCTAATATTAATTTCTAATGCTAAATCCTTCAATTCCAAAAATAATTGTGCAAATAAATTTAGAAAATTATATAAATCATAATCCAAAAAATTATCTCATGGAACAAACCATAAATCATTTAAAAAAATAGAAATATTTGAACAGAAAAAAAACACATAGGTTGGTCCATGGTGCAACCGCAGCTCAGTTGTGGTTGGTCCATGGTGCAACCGAAGGTCTCTTGCGATTATACCATGGTCCAACCGCAGATCAGATGCGGTTCAACCATGGTCCAACCGCATCTGAGCCGCGATTCCAATTTTTTGGTTTTTTTTTCCAGTGAACGTTTTTATCTCGTCGGAGTCGTTATTCATGATTCAGACGTCCTACCGACGATATCGGCTCCATAATGATGTTGGTGGATTTTTCTTTCCTTGGATAGTGGTTTTTTTAGTCTAAGTGGTGTTTATTTGCTAAAGATGACGGCATGGTAACAGAGGGGAATTGAGCTCAGCTGCTCTTCTAGCCTTCTCCGGCAGTAAATCCCCTTCTCCACCACCATCTGCGTCATCGAATCTCTAAAATGGAAAGGAGCTTGTAGACCTGCTTATCCGACAGCGTTTCCCCTCTCAGTCGGGGGTCGTACCGGACGTTGTCGGCGATCGTGCCTTGGAACAGCGCCGGGAGCTAGAACAACATCCAGACTTTCCGGCGAAGGTAGACGACATCGATTTCGGTGATGTCGCAGCCGTCGAGGAACACGTTGCTCTGCTGGTGAATACTTATAGATTAATTGGGCCATTGGAAGAGCAGCTTAAGCGATTCCTGAAGCTCAATTCCCCTTGTAACCACGCTGTCATTGTTCGGGCCTTCACTTCGATCTGGAATGAAGTGGTGGTCGCCGCCGCCGCCGTCGGCAGGTAGTACGACATCATTTGGAGGGACATCAATCATATTATTTTTTTTATAATTTAACTAATTTTTATTAAATAAGTAATATGATAAATCATATACTAAAAGGAATAATAAGGTGGACAAATAAATTAATTTATATATATATTTTTTAATTTCCACGTCATCTAGTTAACGGTCAAACTTTATAGGTGACCGCCACGTAGGACATATTTAACGGAGTGTAACGGTCGGTGACTAACGGTGAAACGATTCGTAAAGTTAGTGGTGAATAAAACAGAAAAGTAATTCGGGTGGCAAACATGAAAAATTTGTGTAATTCGAGTGACCAAACGTCTAATTTAACCGTTTTTGGTTCTTTGGTTTCCCTTTTGTTTTCATTCTGTGAGCAGTTTGTTAAGTGTTTGGAGGGATTGCGGGCGAATGATAATCATGCATCTTCATTTCATTGAATACTCAATCAGCCAGGAAGTTGTGGAGACAATTCTGGAGCTTGCTAAATTTAAGGTAGGCACCAGGTACTTTGTTGTCATGGTCGAGTTTGATTAGACTTATTAAACTCTTAAGATTGTCTTACATATTATTGGCGAATTGGATGGTGCTCGATGAGCCGTTAATGCAGCTTCAACGAGACCATACAAAACAAACCAGGATTGGAACGAGCTGCAGATATGGTCCCATTTAGGGATGGCAATTTTGCCCATATTCATGGGTATTTTACTATCCAACCCAATTGGGTTGGGTATGAAATCCAAATATATGGATATGGTTAAAGTTTGATGGGTTTGTACCCATACCCATTTACTTTGGGTTGGGTTGGGTTTATAACAAATGGATTTGGGTTTGTACCCATGCCCAAATACAAATTACAGTTTGGTACCTAAACTTAATAGATATGCATATTTAGTACCTAATTTTTTTTTTTGCATATAAGTCCTCAAAATATCGATGGAAAATTACGTTTTGGTACCTAAATTTTTTTTGTCTTACATTTTGATACCTAAAATTTTTAAGTTTTACAAATAAGTCCAATTTTTGCATGTGTAGTTAAAATGCCCTCAAGTAAATGGATATCCATATCCAACCCATACCCATTTAGATAATATCCATATCTAACCCAAACCCATATACAAACCCCAAACCCATACACACATCACCCAAACCCTACCCATAATAAATGGGTCTACTTGGATTTGGGCAATATTACCCATGGGTGGGTAAATTGCCATCCCTAGTCCCATTTCCTCGGACTAAAAAGGCCCCTAAGGAACGAATTGCAGCAATGTTTGGACCATCTGATAAAAGTTTAGGCGAGGAAAATCTTGCTACAGCTGATGGGAGTGATGAAGAGTACTCCCGAGCCTTTTTACCACAATTCCCAGAAATCAGGAAAAAAGGGGCAACGATTTTGAATTCACTTAATTAGTTAATTGTAAAATTGAGCGAAGATTTTGAGTTGCCACGACAATTTCCCAGAATCCAAACACTAAGCTTGACTATGTTCTGAATTTTCAGGGGATTCAACGCTGGGAGTAGAAGTTGAACATAGTAGTTGGGCGGCGGAAGGGCTGGCGTATCTTCATGGAGAAATCCAACTCCCTCCTCCAAGCAGTATGACCTCCAATTAATTATTCATCTATCCTACTTCAAAAATTCGAGTTGCTAGTAGACTTAAACGATTAACTTGATATGTACTTTGATCCACTACACTCTATAGTAGTGCTTATTGGAGCCATTATTAGGGATGACAA